GTGTGTGTAGGTGGGCTGTAAGGCCAGCCTGATCTTCTTCCAGTACTTCATCTTAGCTAACTTCTTCTGGCTGCTGGTTGAAGGTCTTTACCTTCACACGCTGCTGCTCGTCCTCCCCACCTACTCCTTCCGCCTCTCCATCTACATGCTCATCGGCTGGGGTAGGTTGAACCACAATGAGAGCACCGTAACTTTATGTTGTCTTTACAGTCTTATTGGCCTGGTCTTATGTGTAACCACTGATAATGTTCCTATCACCAAGTTAATGTCTTAAAACCCAGTGAAACATCTGACGATCATGCATTAAAAACACTTTATTAAAACTGAATAGAAACCAAAGACAATGTAAGACAGTCTAAAGATGATTAAAAAAAACGAATAATAATGGAAACCTCAGACTCCTGGTGAAAGTTTAGAGCACTTGTATTGTGGATTTAGTTTGGTTTCTGCGCAGAGAAAGTTTAGAGTTATCTGACATGAGTGCAGTGAAGTAGAAACAGTCCATTAACATCACTCAGCTAACAAAGTGGTCGAACCATCAGGGAGCTGAGCTACTTGGAACTTTCTCTTTCTTACAAAGTTTCACATGCTATGCAATCCAGTGAAAAACTAATTACATCCATGATTCAGTGACTTTTAAAACCTTCTTTATCAGCAATAGCTTGAAGTAATACCTTTTTGAATGGCTTTATCAGTCTCTTACATTGCTGTGGAGAAATTCTGGCACTCTTCTTTAAAATATTACCTCGGTTCATTGAGATTTGCAGGCATTTGTTTATTCACAGCTCTCTTAACGTCCTCCCGCAGTGTTTCAGTCAGGGTGAGGTTGGGCTTGCTCATAATCTTTTGTCCCAACATTTTTTTTTTCACATTTACCATCTGCTGGCCAAAATCTGAACTATTTCCAAACAAAGCGCAGTCTCTCTCTCTAGAGACGAATTGAGTTGTGAAATTTGTTCCATCATTACCACTCGGTTGAATTAATCCTGGGCTAAACTGACCCCTGAAACCGTTGAAGATTAACCTTATGCTTTAATATGTTTTTGACACGGATGGCTTTTGTTAAGCAATCTACTTAATGTACAGTAACTGGGCTAATTGTTCCTTTTAACCTTTATGTGCACATAAAATGAGACTAGCTGACCTGCCCAAGCTTAGCTGTTGGCAAGTCAGTGCTAAACAATGTACAAATGACCTCTTCACAATGAGCAAACACACTTCTCTGCTACATAATGTCTGCCGCTACCCACACAGCACATATAGGTCAGCAATACATCACTGCGCTCTCTGGGATTCATGCTAGGTTAAATTTATCACAGGAGGTGTTGATGCAAAGCAGATCGAGCCCTTAAGAAAATCCCTGCAGAGAAATAAGCTCCGTACGAATGAGGCTGCGAGAGGTCAGGAAGACCAGAAAAGTTTATGAAAATAACAATTCATTCAATGTTCCCTGGTTGCAGTTAGCGTGCTATTAACCCTGCAGTTTAAAAAAATCAATTATATTGATAAATTTAGAAATTTCATAGACAGCCCTGTTGTAGCACCCCTTTAGTGTGAGCCTCTGCAAAACACAGTGCCAGCACTCAGACAACCAGCAGACAGTGCGTCACGCTGCTGAAGTGAGCTGGTGTATTCAGGGAAAGTCCGGGCAGTAAACACTCTCCTGGCCTCTGCGTTTGCTCTCTTCCATTCTGTCTCAGCTGCTGCCTTCTGACACCTTCCTTCCACTATCCATCTCCACTTTACCAACAGTTCCTCCCCAATGCATCACCGTTCAGCCCCAGATGTTTAATGTGTGTGTGTAGACGTCATATTTCCTTTGTGGCACTTTGCGAGGATGTTCTGTGCCTGCCAGATAGAGAACCTAAACAGATCCTCTTCTCCTCCATATCTACCTTCCTCTCTACTCTCTGGTTCTCAGGAATCCCTCTTGTGTTCATCGTGGCATGGATCATTTGTAGGATATACATGGAGGACATGGGGTGAGTCTGCAAGTGTTTAAACATTGTTTTCACAAACTGTGTCAAGGTCAGTGCAAAAATCAAACGTTACAAACTTGCAGGCGGCACATTATGCTTATCCTTAATTTCCACCACATGCATGCAGTTGCATTGGTTGAAGCTTATATCAAAATAATGCATCTTTGATTTCATTTAACCATCTCTAGGTCAGGAAATATTACAAATCTCACTGACTTATTTACTCACTTCCAGGTGTTGGGAGATGAACAACACCCCCATACCAAACAGAGTGATCAACTGGCCCATCATGGCATCTATCATTGTGAGTTTTGTCCCAGGATAACCTTGCATACATCAGACAGAGTTTTTTCATGAATTAAAAAAGCACTTCTTAAATGTTTTTTCGGCATCCTGGACACAATTCTTATTAGTTTTAAATAGTATAAAGAATTGACCTGAGTAAAAGTGAGTGGATCTGTGGTCAGGATGATTGTACACACAGCCCATTATGCCCCACCAGTGGGTATAACACAGTCTAAATTAATAGGTCAAGTCTGTTTCGTCTGTTTTTTGTTGTTGTTGTTTTTAGTCATTAATCTGCAATTTGAACTGAAATCCATTTTCATTTTCACCTGCTTTGTCCTTGTTCTCCTTTTCTCATTTTATTTTGCTTTCTTCTACTAAAATATAAAACATTGGATCATTATTTTTATTTTACAAATAAATATTCACCATATTAAAAATGATGCACTATTACAGAGCCTGCACAGCCACACATTGGTTTTTAGAGTCACACACTTACTGGACACATCGTTTAAGTGCTCCTGTTCAACTGATGCTAAATGGAAACATGCCATGCAACATTCAGATGGCAGGATTTGGCATTAATGACATGAAAACATGGATCCTGCTTTTTATCAAAGGTTCAGGCTGTTGCTGGTGGTCTAATGATGGCAAGAATGTTAGCTTCACTCACTTGGTACAAACTCAGCATCATTTAAAAACTACAAAAGTATTGCTGCTGATCTGTTTTTGGTCAGCAGCAATACTCAGTACTTTTCTAGGGAAGATGTTATATACAAATAACGAATGACTATAGCATTCACATCTTTATAAACCATACCAGAGTCAATCTGCACAATGAGTCCTTTTAATTTTGAAGCTTTAACACACATAGTTGGTTATACTTTAACTCTTGGACTGAACCAGAGCACTTTGTACTGTAGTTTTTATTTTGGTAATAGAGTTTGCTAAAGTACTCACAGATAATGTTTCTTTTTAACATACTGTTTATTGTTGGGTTTCCAGGAGAAAGGTTTAAGGATCAAAACTAGTTGATGAGGTTTAGCAAAAGATCACAGATTGGGATAAAATATTCTGATTATGTCAAAAGTGTCACAGCCAGAGTGATCTAAAACAAACAAGCAGTGCAGGCATAAATCATCCTTCCCATTGAAATCCGTTAGTTTCAGAGTTGCAAAGTTACTCCAGCAACATTCATTTCCATACGCAGCATACTAAAAAATTACAGTGTGACATATTTTATCGCTATTTTTGGATTTTCTGTGAGACTTGGCCTCAGATGGTGGATCTCTTTATTTACACTGGAAATCCCAGACACAATTATATCCTCTGATACAGACATTCATAAAAAAAAGGCTGCTCAGTCATTGAGAAAACATCTGCAAACAGATAAGTTTTAGATAAAATTCAATCAGTCAGCAGTCGATTTCAAAACATGCGAACCAGCAGATAATCCATCAGAGCTGTCATGCTGAACTTTTCTATTTTTACTATTTTTACTTGTTGCAACAGTGAAGCTCTGCTTGATCCGTTGTGAGCGAACTGCTTACTGCTTGTTTTTGCGAAGCTCTATGTAACTGACGTTGTACGATTCGATTGTTGAGCATTTTGCAATAATGTGTGCTCTAATGTGTGCTTTGTGCCATCAAGTTTCCATTTATATTTGGCTATAACTACGATTTATAGATGTCTTCTAAATATATGAAATGCAGGCAGTTGTAAAGTTATTGTTCTGAAAACGCAGTCATCTGTAAGGACATGCTCTCTGAATGTGTGCTTGTGTATGTTGGTACATGACTGGGCAGGTTTTGGAGCGTAGCTTTCTCGTGAACTGCTTGTTCAAACAGTATGACTGAGTGATGGAAGTCACATAACACAGAAAACCAGAGAAAATACACTTAAAATTAGGGGAATGCATATACAAAAAATACACCTCTGAGTGATGTTTTGTAAAAATATTTGCAACATGTCAAAAGCTTGTTTGAGGATTCAGATTTGGTTATATGGTCGAAGTTAGAGTTTTTATAATGCAGCATTATTTGAACACGCCTCCCTTGCTGGCCTTTGGTCCCACTGTGGCTAATGATCCAGCTAAGCACAGCTATTAGCTGCACTTGTTTTCATTTTGGCAACTCTCAGTTTTTGTAACCTGGTTGGCTGGTTTCTTATTCTTGAAAAAGTATTTTTTAAGTATCATCATCATATATGTCACATAAACACATGTATGTGGGTGTGAGCCCCTCCACTTACACTCATAGTGAAGAAGGCAGCTGATTTTTATCAACATATGGGAACTGCTCTTCAAAATGAATTGAAACCCAGCTAAGGCCTTTGTGTGTAGTGTTTAGATGTCCTTCCTGTGCCCGTGTTTGGGCACAGGTTAAAGTGCTGATGCTAAAATGGCCATGGATGTGAGATACATAAAGTCCTTAAAGTTTGCACTCTAAAGAGCTTTGAGTGGTTAGTAAAGCACTCTGTAAATGCAAGTACATCACATTTCACTTACTCAGGTCCCCAGCAAAAAACCACCAAGTGTGGAGTGGACTGTATGAAGGGTTGTTGAGCTTTACAGTGGACGAGTATCTCGTCACTCGGCTCTGTGAGGGGAGCAGAAGACTGACAGATGGACTCGGGCCATGTCTGCAGTGATGTGAACACTATACTGGTCCGTTGTGGTAAAGAGAGAGCTGAGCGTAAAAGTGAAGCTGTCAATTTACTGGTCGTTCTACATCCCTGCCTTCAGCTGTGGTGACCTAAAGTGACAGGGTGAGGAATTCAATTATTTAGAGGGACAGATTAGAGCTGCTACTCCTCCACATTCAATGGAGGTGGCGTGGGGATATCTAAGATTATGACCTGAGTGAGGAGGCCCTGAAGTAGACCCAGGACATGCAGGGGAGATTATGGCTCCCAGTTGGCCTTGAAATGCTTTGGTGTTCCTCAAGATGAGCTGGAGGAGGTAGCTGGGTGGAGGAAGGTCTGCGTTTCTTTGCCTAGGCAAACTTATCCAGACAGCCTGGGTAAATGTGAGAAGATGGATGGATGGAGTTCGGAAACACAACTGTACAGTCAATTTTTGGACTCTTTGCTCCTGGACAGACAAATTTCATAGAAATTAGTTTCTAACCTTTCTACACTTTTCGCTAATATGACTCCTCTTTCTTTCTGCCGTGTTTCTCTACAAGATCAATTTCATCCTGTTCATCAGCATCATCCGCATCCTGGTGCAGAAACTGCGCAGCTGTGATGTGGGCGGAAACGATCAATGCCAATACAAGTACGTCAAGGAACTGAGGAGTCATATTTTTACCTCCGAGCTCTCGCTGATTAGATTCATATGCATTTAAGAGGGCTTCCTGATAATGTGGTGACGAAAGCAGCAGTCATATCAAATCTCCTCGACACATTAGACAGGAACCATTATCACATTATCAGCTAACTGTGTTTAAACTTGGACATCTTAGTATCAATCTTCCTGCCTGTTTCTGCTTCTCAATCTGGAGACAAATGATTTTGATTATTCTTTCTTTACCAAACAAATAATAGCCATTCCTTCCTCATTGTAACTCTCCTTTTTAATATCCAGAATAAACAATTTTTCTGCACTGTTGAGAAAAAGTGAAAGAAAGAGATTTCCCACTGATGGTCTCGCAGATAAGTTTTAGTCTAAATGTATTGTGTGCATTGAGTGAGTATTATGTGTGTTTATCAGGCGCCTGGCTAAGTCCACACTTCTGCTGATCCCTCTGTTTGGGGTGTATTACGTGGTGTTTTTCTACCTGATGGAACCGGAAAATGAAAACGTGAAGCAAGTGAAGATCTTCTTCGATCTCGGCCTCGGATCATTCCAGGTACTATAAGACATTTAAAAACATAAAATTCCTAAATAAAATGATTTGCCTTTTTCGCTCTGGTAGGAAAATGACTTTAGCGGAAGATAAAAATGTCATCAAGTTAAGACCCAGCAAAGGAGAGAACCACATCAAGAATTTTGACCCTTACAAGATAGTCATGTATGATTGGGAGCTGTAGTAAGAAAAATAAACATTGCATGTTCTTTTTTTAGCTCATTGACTGTGTCCTAGTTTAATGTCCGGCTCTGTGTCTGCACACAGTCTCAATTCTTTCCCCACATCCTTGACTCTTCTCTGCTGTCTTCCTCTTTTCCTCCTGCCGGGCAGCTTCTGTCCAACATATCCACCATCTCACCTCAGCCTTGCCTCTCTAACTTTGTCCCCAAACACTCAGCCTGAGCTGTCACTCTGATGTGCTCATTTCTTGTGCTGTCCCAACAAACCAGTCATTTAAAGTTGCCTCCACACTTCTGCCTTCCTTTCTCTCTCACTGCCTCTAATAAAGGCAGAAAGAAAAGAGGAAGACAATGCAGGAGATTGATGAGTGTAGTGAATGAGGACATGCAGTGGGTTGGTGTGACAGATGAGGATGCTCGGGATAGGTGGTGCCCCTTAAAGGCAGCATCCTTTAGTATTAATATAGCCTTGTTTCTGACACGTTGGCACTGATCTGTTATGGTGGTATTTGTTTCCTTTTAGGGTCTAATTGTAGCGGTTCTCTACTGTTTCCTCAACAGTGAGGTGAGCCTATGCATGTGTTCTTCGTAACATAATTTACAACATTTTTTAATATATAATATATTTAATATAATTCTACTTCTTCTTTTTTTTGCACATAAAGGTTCAGAGTGAGCTGAGGAGGACATGGAAGTGTTTTTCTGTAAAGCGCTGCGTGGGACAGGACTTCAGGCTCCACAGCGTGAACCAAAATGGTACAGAAAGCTCGACCCAGTGTTCTAGAAACTCCCGAGCCCAATCCATCCTGCAGACTGAGATCACCGGGCTGTGATCTGCGACACAAACAGCCTGTTTTGTTAAAGACTTTGAGAACGGGCGCTCGTGTTTGGTCAGTGTGGAGGAATTATACTTAACCTCGCTTTTATAGACATATCGCCTGATGCTGCAGGGACTGAACTTGTGGCTTGCAAACGTTTTTGAGGTGAAAGACTTCGTTTTGGACCGTCAAACCTCCCGGAGATATATATATATATTTTTTTTTTCCACATCGGCGTGAGATTTCACAATGATCTTTAACATTTTTAAACACATAACGGATGAAACAGTGCCTCCTATAATGTTTCCAGAACAACAAATTCATTTTTATAATTATTCTCCACATCCAAAGAATGACTAACTGACTTGAAAAAATAGTTTTCAAATAGTTAATGCACAAATTAAGACTTACATAAAAATGCTAAATCCATATTGGAGAAAGTAACCATACATTTTATATACCTGAAGGTAGATGTATACAGAAATATTCATATTTTATGTTTAGTTTTATAGGGCTGATCTAGTTCTTCCTTTCATATAAGCTTTTCTTTTTTTAACTGATATGCAGAGTATGTTTGGTTAATAAGGTTCATCCATACCTGCTGATTAGTGCTAAGTAAAAAAAGAATGCACCTCATAATAAAAAAGCCGTACCTATATTTACATGGCTGAGTTATCTACAGTTGTACAGTTGATATGAAGGAAGAAATTAATTATAGAGACCAAACGTGTTGTTCATATCAGGCTGTAAACATGCGTATATGTGCCGTGAAGTTGGGCATTTTAGCATGGCAGGCTATGGGGATGTGGAGCCAGCCTCACGTGGCCAGTAGAGGAACTGCAGTTTTTGGCGCAGTTTGTCAGCTCTGTTGGTTGCTACTGTGACGTAGTAGATGTTGCAAATTATGTTGCAAATATGCTTATAGGTAAGCATATTTATTCCTGCTTTTCAGTTCGGTCATCTCACAGGCTGTTCAGCTCATTAATATTGTAAGTTAAGACTCACTGTCCAAGAAAAGATTCAGGAAATATGCAAGGGAAAGTTTTTGTTTAAAAATCTATTTATGTTTTTTTTTTTAACGAAAACAAAGCTGAAAAAATAAAAAATAAAACCAAATAACGGCAGCTCAAATCCCCGACCTCTCACTTTGAAGCCCCACTGAGCTAATTGATTCAGACACTGAGCTGATTATTGACATGGGGAAGCAGAGACCACTACTGTATGTGGAAACAATGTCAACATCTGTCTGTTTTTGGTGCAGATGGGCTACTGCAGCAGAAGAAGACCATACCCGATGGCTCTCCTGTCAGCTAAGAGCAGGAAACTGAGGCTATATTTCACACGGGTTCACCAAACGTGGACAACAGAAGATTGGAAAAATGTTGCCTGATCTGATGAGTCTCGATTTCTGCTGCCACGTTTGGATGGTAGGGACAGAATTTGGTATAAACATGAAAGGATGGATCCATCCTTTCTTAGATCTGTTCAGGCTGGTGAGCACATCCCTTCGTGACCACGGTGTACCCATTTTCTGATCGCTGCTTCCAGCAGGATCATCTCAACCTGGATTCTTGAACATGACAATGAGGTCACTGTACTCAAATCGGCTCCACAGTCACCAGATATCAATCCAGTAGAGAACCTTTGGGATGTAGTGGAACAGGAAATTGGTAGTGGATGTGAAGCCCACAAAACTGGAGTGACTATGTGATGCTATCATGCTAATATGGTCCTAAACCTTAAGAGAAAGCACAGGAGGTTCAATCAGGTACTAAGAAGGGGTTATTATTAGTGTTAGGAGCAGGGTAAGTTACCACAGTGATGTAGCCACGTAAACAGAGATCCAGCTTCACCTCCAGACTTTAAGCTCAACATACTGCAGCCTTCTGATCTATTACTGTAATTTCACTTTACAGTGCACCCCTCTGTTTTGACTGGCAAGATATCATTGGTGTTTCCTGGGTAACTGTAGCTCTTGTCACTCTTCATTTTTTCATGTTTTGAATGCATTTGATAACAATGTGTGTTTAAGTTGGTACCAAATTCAGGGCTCAACAAAAACGGCTGTCTGAACAGCACGTTATCGTCAGTAATTTCACTATGATCCTCTTGAAGTTCAGTTTTTTCCTGAAAGTCTATCATGGATCATTGCTGTTTTACATGTAATTTAATAAGGCCTACCACACCTGTTAAATGTATTGTTTTTTCAGTAACTCCATTTACTTTCCCTTATCACGTCAGCAGGGAATGAACGTGATAGCATTCAATTTGAGATAAAATTAGAATACAGATACTTCACTTTAAGGGTGATCAGTGTTTCCCACACACAGAATGTTCTCATCCAAACGAACTCACCGTAACAGAGTTTTATCAGCGCCTTCAGGCGACAGTTTGGATTTGGCACTATACAAATAAAATGGGTTTGATTTGAATTAAAGCCAAAAACCATGCTTGCCTTGTACATAGACTGTTTTGTATTATTTTTCTTTCTTTTTTATACAGTGGAGAGTATATCGCTGGCTGATTGTAAAATGTAGAGAAAGACATCGTTGTTAAATTTGTAAGCTTTTGATCACAACTGTAAACCTGTGATTCCATATGTTTAATCCATAAAAGCTTTTTTATCGTGGAAATGAAGCTCTGTTTGTTCAATCACACAAACTGAATCCTTTTAAATGTTTTTTCTTCCGTATTTGCAGATATTTTCTCATCTTATGTTTATGTTTCTGTGAAGTAGCATAACATAAGCAGCATGAAAGGTGATAGTAAGACAGCATCTGCAGACAGTTAAAGTTTCTTTTAAGTGTCCTTTATTTTCTGGCGTCGCCTTTCAACAATTATCTCACAAAAACATCAGAAGCTGTGAGTCAAAATCTCACCTGCTTTATATAAATTCCACGCACACCTGGATCTCATTATCCTCTACCATTGGGAAAACAGGGTAGACTAAATAACACAGTCTAGACAAAGAAACAGGAATAAAATCATTTTTCCACTTAACAAACTCATTCACCCAACTAAACAGTTTGAAAAGTCAATCTCTTCACCTAATCTGACTCATGAGTTATTTTAAATGAAATAAACAATTTTACACAAAATAAACACCCCTTCATTTGGTTACACCCAATTGACATGATCAGTGACATCATATCCTATAAAATCAGGAAGTACTGGGGCGGCCCTTCCCACATACCTGTTTTACACATAGGACCTGTCCAAAGGAACAGACAATGGTAAGTATAACCAAACTACATAAACAAATGAAAGATTCTAATCAATTAATGATGAAGTGACATTTAGCTTTAAGTACATTTGCACAGATGACATAAATATAACCGATGCTACCACAAACAGACCCGGGATAGTATGTAGAGCCAAGGTTACATGTGCTGTGTTTACATTAAAGCATTATGACAGACTATAGGATAACAGAACACAGAAAAACAATATACGCAAATGGCAAATGAATTCTGTCCTAGCCACTTTGTCACAGTTTCCAGCGGGCACAGTTAAAGGCATTAGACCTGTGAGGTCAAAGGTCAGAGGTCAGTGAGGGTATATTGCTTCACTAGTTAACAGAAAAAAACCAACCTGTGTAATTGTTGCCGCTCTTTACTTTTCCTGTATTTACTTTAGATTGTGACGCATTTGAGCAGAATGGAGTTACACAATTATGAGCTGGACAGAGTCAAAGAAAGCGAAACTGATAACTGGGAAATGTGACTGGTAGGTTCAGATGTCTCATGAAAGCCTTAAAAAATACAGCTCCAAAAAAAGAAAGAAAGAAAGGAACACTCAATTATTATGGCATAACCAAAGTCAGTTAAACCTCAGGGATATCAGTCTGTTCACTTAGGAAACATAAACCACTGCAAAGCCAGTTCAGCTGCTTTGCTGAAAGTGAAAGTAACAACAGATGCAACAGGACAACAGCCAAACCCCCCAAAAAGAAAATGATTTAGGAGGCAGTGACCACAGACTATTGCTCCCTCCTTATCCCTCCAGACTGATACGTCTCTAGTTTTCCTTTTTTGCTACTGTTGTTAGTATTAGTAACAGGAGACGCTAGCTACAGCTCATTGACATTGCACAGACAGTCCAGCTTGTCCAGGATGTCACAGTCTCAAGAGTGTGGAGGACATACCAGGATGTGGGCTTTAGCATGGCTGTTGAAGGGCATCGTCCAGCACCATCATCGGTCTCTGCATCTTTGTGCAGAAGGAATGGAAGATAGCGTAAAAGCACAATATGCTTTTTTTTATTCTTGATTTTGTGCCAAGTCATCAAATAAATCTTAATTACGAAAAATTATAACAGCTTAGCCCTGCCTAACTTTGAACCTGTGTCATGTACCGATACATATCACACATCCTCACATGTGAGGACCCTCACTGATATGCTCTGCAGTTACTACGCAGCCCTGCCTAACTTTATCCTCACCAAAGTCTCAACCTGAACCTTTAAACAGCTGTTTGGGGACTGCTGGGTGAAACAGGGGGAATGTGCTCACTCTACTGGGCTAAAACTTAATTTAAGATACAAGGATGAAAGGAGCCCCTTCGCTTCACATGATCTTTTCTTTTTGTTCCCCTGAGAAACTCCCATCTGCTTTTCCATCTGTGCTACCCGCCCTCTTTTCATCCTCCAGTCACTGTTCCTCTCATCTTACCTGCAGTCAAGCTGAAGACGTGAACCTCGAATCAGTTATGTGGTGATACAAATACAGACACATACACAAACTAGGACATGAGTAAAGTTAAGCTTCAACTTTAACTTAGGATTTCCTAATTCCTCAGCTCTAAAATGTTTTCTAATTAGATTTCAAAGGAAATAAGAAATGTTTAAGGGGTTTAAATCAAAAGGCATCCACCTTGGAGCTCAAGTTGCCAACATGAGCACAGAGAGACAATGATGCTGGTAACTATTGGAAGTTCAATTGACAATATAAAACCCAAAGATATAGAAGGGATAGAAGAATCTAAACATAATTTGGGAAGAAAAATAATTTAAAAATTAATACTAAACAATCTTTCCGAAAACAGTTATGCAAACAATAAATCTGCAAGCCGAATAGTTGCTGAGGAATAATTTGAGTAATTGTTTAAACTCGTGTTTATGTGAGCTGCCGTCCCCTGGTGGTCACTGAAGGTACTTCAGGTGCAAGATGTTATTTGTAGATTTTAAAAAAAAGAAAAGAAAAATACATTGAATTAAAATACTGCATTATTAAATGTTAAAAAGCACAAAAAAGGAAAAAGATCCTTGTCAGGGTCAGATCTTTTATGTCCTGAGACACAGAAAAAAAAATTGTTTTTACATTGAGATTTTTTCCCCCAAAGAAACATGCTGAATCATTTCTTTTTCAAATTTGTTATTTATTCATTATCTTCTGTCCCATGAAGTGGGCACATCTGTCATAAATATGATTAGATGGCTGAGTGAGACAGAAAGGAGTTCACGCAGAATTTGGAAGTGAAGTTAAAACTCGAGCTGTCGAGAGATGAGGAGGAGGAGGGGCCAGACATGAGAGCAAGAAGGTGAAAGTTCAGTGGAGGACATGCTGGCTTTGAAGAGCCTGAGTACGGGCAAAGTGACGATACCCAAAGTCCATCTTGGATAAGAAGCATTACGTAAGCTCGGGCTCCGAAGCTCTGGGATTTGGTTTTGACCGCAATACAGGACACCAGCCTGGAATCATCTTTCATTGGCAGCTTTGTGTGTGTGTGTGTGTGTGTGTGTGTGTGTGTGTGTGGTTCCTCAAAAGCTGAGGAACCACACTGAGCTTTCAGCTTCCTGCTCTGATGTCTGTCCTTCCTCCACCTCATCCCACGACAGCAGTAAGACTGACTCCCCTTCCACGGTTCTGCCTCATCCTGCCTCCTGCTTCCCGAAGTACGGCTCAAAATCTGAAAATGTGTCCTGCTGCCCACTACAAAGGAATAAAAGTAACTGTGCATTTCTGAAATCCTACTAAATCAATGTTAGCTCTATTAGCTCAGCCCCCACAAATCTGTCATCAATAGAAAAGGCAGGATGTCCCCTCGACAGTGCAGAACGAGTCATGTAGATTGCATTAATGTTGGTTAACGCAGAGGTCTCAGACTTATGTCCTGACTGGGGTCAAAAATGAATTGCTGGGTTTTATATTGTACATTTAGATCAAAGACGGTGAGTCACTCCCCTTTTCTTTATATTTTACTCCTAAAAAGTTAAACTTTCTTGTAATTTTGCTAAAGTGGACTTGAGCAACATTTTTCCAGGTTTTCACGAGGTCTTTGCGGCGCCTTTTAAAAGACAGAGTTACAAAGTGCATC